GGAAGTGTCCTGAGCAGGCCCTTGTCTCTCAACTACTCTGTGAGCTGCCGCTTCCGAGACGGGCACCTGGAGCTCTGGGGCCACGGCCAGCACGACAGCCAGGCCCTGCTGCGGGCCGGCTTCCCAGAACAGGCCCACCTGAACGCCGAGTTGCAGATACGTGGTGAGGCACGTGGCCTGGGGCCTGCAGTGTGAGAGGTGACTTCAAGGAGCCTCAGAGCGGAAGGCTTGCTCAGGGTTGATCTGACGGCCCTGCTCAGCCCTCCGTGACAGCCTTTCCTGCAGCTCCGTGGGCCCCAGGACCTGCAGTCTCTGTGGGGTCCCTGAGCCAGGAAGGAAGGTAGTGTGTGAACCCGGGTTCACGCAGCGTATCCGTCCTCTGCCCCTAGAGACACGGACCTGGGCCAGCGTGGCTCTCCGTGGCGAGGCTGGCCAGCTCCATGTGAACGCAGCAGCCCTGGTGGCTCGGCCGCTGGATGGTGCGCTGGAGCTGGTGGCAAACGCCAGCCATGGGGTGCCCGCTCTCCGGAGGCTGGGCCTGCCCTTCGCCAGCCAGGTGAGCAGCGTGGGCAGGGCCGGGCGGGGCTTCCCCCACATCCCGTCACCTCCCACCCGGTGCTCCAGCCACCTTGTGACTGACCCGGTGCTAGTGTTGGGTTCCTCCGGCACTGCACAGTTCCCAGAGGCCAAATGACAATGGTGGTGATAACTGACCCGCCCCATCCCGGGGTGGGCGGGGGCTGGTCCCCGGGGCCCTGCCTACGGCTCCTGGTCGCGTCCTTTTTCCCGACTTCCATCAGAACAGTGCCCCTACCCTGGCCCGCGCCATTCTGAGGGACTTACACGTGATCATCCACCCCGTGCTGACACGCCGGGAGGGCCGCAGTGCAGCCCTTGGGAAGCGGCTCCGGAGAGCCCAGCAGTGCCGCCTGCTTGCTGTGTGGCCTTGGGTGACTCAGCCCCTCGGAGCCTTCAGTCTCCTCCCCTGCAAAATGGGATAATCACGTGCCTCTAGCCCGGAGGTCATGAGGGCTGTGCAGGCTACACCGGGGCTGCCTGGTACAGTAGGAGCCGCAGCAGCCTTTGCCGTGGTGAGGATGGTGACAGCGAGGACGGCCACCATTGTCATTATCACCACTATCATCATCTCTGCGCCCCACGCGGGAGCTTGGGTGACGGGCCGAGGTCACCCACGGGAGCAGCACAGCGGAACCAGGCAGCCAGCCCGTCCCGCAGTGCCTCCTGCCTCTCCTGCCAACGTCTATGGCCCACTTCCCCAGGGCCATGTCTGGCCACCGCCGTCACTTGGTGTGGGCTCACCTTGCCTGGCCGGCCCTCCTCCCCCAGCTTCAGAGGGCAGCCAGAGGCAGTCCTGAGACCTTTCCACAGCCTCCTGTTTCAGGTCACTCAGCGATCCCCCTTCCCCCTGTGGTGGAAGGGGACGTCCCCAGGGGGCTGGGGGCCAGGACATTGCCCCTGTTGGGGAGGACCTGCAGCCCTGCACCCCACTCTTCGGTGATTTGGATGTCCTTTGTCCCCTGACCTCATCCAGCCCCTGTTCCTGGCCTGGAGGCTGGTGGCAGGAAGGTCTCCGTGGGACCCTCTTAGCCACCGCCTTGGCTGGGAGCACAGCAGGGCCCGGGCACCTGCCGTGACGATGGGCCGGTCCAGGTCCTCACCACCGAGGGGGCGTTAGGCAGGCCAGGCGTCAGACATCTGTGGCTGCCACACCACACAGGCTGGGGGCAGGGCCTGCTGGGACTGCAGGCATGCCGGGTCCCCGCCTGGCTGTGAGGTCCTGGGGCCCCCAGCTCCCCACATGTGGCAGCAACTCCCCCCACTGCTCCCGCTCAGCTGGGGATCCCGAGGGCTCCTGGCGGTGGGAGAGGCGAGCCTCTGGCTGCAGCTGACCTGCGAATCTCAAGCCAGCTTGGTCCTCGAAGTCCGTGGCCGGAACCAGGCTGCCAGGTGAGAGGTTCTCCGGGGCTGGGGCCACACGGTGGGGCCAAGGAGGTGGGGGCGGAGCTGTTGTCTGGGCCCCTGGCACCCCTTGGACCTGCACACAGCCCCGCACAGATGTGAAAAGGAAGCTCAGGGAAGCAGTGGCTTTTCTAAGGTCACATGGCTATTACAAACCCCTTGGCCTCTGAGTTCTTGGTCTCACAAACTAAGTTCTCCCAGGCCTCTGGAGGGTGGGCCTAGCACTGTGCTCGGTGGGCCTACTCCTGTCCCCACACCGTTCAGGGGGGCTGCCCTCTGGCTCTGGCACCCAGACCCGGTCATCGGGGAGGGGAGGAGGCCTGTGTTAAAGGTGTGGACAGTGGTTCTCAGCTGGGGGCATTTCCCCCAGGACAGGCTCTGTCTGGAAGTTTCTGGTTGTTATCAGGAGGAGGGGCCCCTGGCCATGGCAGGTAGAGGGCGGGAGGTGTCCCGCAGTGCTCAGGGTGGGAGCCGCAGTGGGCCTGGGAGGCTGAGAGCGCAGACCCCAGTGGGGCAGAGAAGGGCAGGGCAGCACCCAGGGGTTAGCACAATGAGAGGAGGGGTCGTGGCCCAGGGAGGACTCCCGGGCAGAGCCAGGGTATAAAATCCCACTGTCCAGCCTCTGCTGAGCTCCCACTGGACAAACACGTGGACACTTGTAGCCCAGAACCACCCTTACCACATTATACTGGTGGGGAAACTGTGACATGGTGGAATGAGGGGGCATAGAACTTGCCCGTGGTGCCAGAGCTGGCAGAGGCGGAGCTGGGATTCACCCGCAGGCCACCAGTTCCAGAGTCCAGCCCTAACCATCTCCCTGTATGGCCCTTGGGCCCTGGGGAGCCACCAGCCCTTCCTTGGGCTGCTGGAGTGTTCACGTCTCTCTGAGTTGCTTGTGGGAGGCTGGCTTGGCCCTGGCCTGGAGGTCCTGGAGCCAGCTTAGGCCTTCCTTCCTTCCTTCCTTCCTTCCTTCCTTCCTTCCTTCCTTCCAGCACAGAGCTGTTGGTCTCTGGCTGGCACCGCCTCCCTGCCCTCCTGGGTTGCTGCCCCGGCACAGCCTCGGTCTCAGCTAAGGTAACTGCACCAGCCACCCAAGCTCTCACTGGTTCCAGATCCTGCCCAAGTGGAGGGGACCGAGCAGGAGGCCCGCCGGGGTGTGCTAACACATCCACATCTGTCCACGGGCCACCCTTGGGAGCCCCTGGCTCCAGCTTTCCTGAGCATACCCAGGCTGACATTCCTGGACCAGCCCCTGCAGCCCCCAGCTGGGCCCACAAGACCCTCGGGAACCGACTGAAGTCCACCCAGCCAGGACTTTGTATCGGCACTGTCTCACCCAGCCTGGCACACTCCTGGGAGCTAGACCAGCTGGGAAGGCCTCGGAGCTGAGCCAGGGCTACCTCTGCCCTGTGTGTGGTGCTAGAGGGTCCTGGGCATGGACAGGAGGGCCCACTGCATGCGGCTGGGGTTCTTCTCCCCCCGTGCTGTCACTGTGCCCCAGACTAGGGCAGCCCAGCAGCTGGCCCAGGGCCCAGCACATAGTAGGTGCTCAGGAAAAGGCAGAATCACTTTACCTACAGACTGGGCACTGCATTTTCCAACCAGCTTCTGGGTTTTGTTAAATGCCCTCCTGGTCCAGGCCCAGCTCACTGCTGTTGACGGAGCCCCAGCTCTTGTAGTCAGACTTTGTGTAGTCACTTGGGAGACTTCTTCGGTTTTCCCCAAATTGTATTTTTAGATAATTTCAACCTGTGTAAAAGTTATTGTAGCAGCCAGCAGATGGCATGGTGCTTAAGGCGCTGGACCCCACATGGCCAATTCCATGGTTTGAATCTTGGACCTGTGGCTTAAAAAACATGCCAGGCGGGTATGTATGTGTACCCAAAATCTCAAGAGGAGAATGGAGAAGGGATCGTGGCATGGCCATCTCCCTGGGAGGTACTTTCTCACTTTTCCTGTCTTTCTCTCTCTAGTGAGTGCATGTTCCCTATGGCTAAAATCAAAAAAAAAAAAAAGAGGGGTCGGCAGGTGGCATGGTGAATAGGGTGCTGGACTCTCACTTGACCCAACGTGGTTCGAATCCTGGACCTGGCAACTTGCTTTCTAACCTTCCCTCTCTCTCTCTCTGTCCCTCTCTGGTCAAATTTTAAAAAATAAAGTAAAAAGTAAAAAAAAAAGCTAAATAAAATAATTATTTTAAAAAAATCTAAAAGAAAGAGGACACTGAGCAGTTACCAGCCACTGCAAGCTCTCTGCCCCTCTCTCTTTGTACCTAGCTCCGGGGTGGAAATTTACAGTCACGTTTTTTCTGTATCATTGAGTTATACAGAAATATTTCTGGAGACATTTTACTCTTTTACTATGTATATCAGTATTTCCTCTGACAAGTATATTTTATTTTTTTGCCATAGGGCAGGTGAACTCACCGTAGAGAGACAGAGGCAGAGATAGAAAGAGAGAAATCACCCCTCAGCGGGGGACTGCCATGCTGCAATCCCTTCTCCATTCTTCTCCTGGGATCTTGGGCACGTATGTACACACACCCAGTGTGGTTTTCAAGCTGCTGGGTCTGAGACTCGAACAGCTATCTGCCATGTGGGAGTCCAGTGATGTAACCACTGTGCTATCTACTGACCCCAAAGGACTCCAGGATCTTAACCACCATGTCACCAGCTGGCCCTCAAGTATATTATGTGACACAAAAGAGGTAAAAAAATTCAGGAAACTTAACACTGAAATGATGCTGTTATCTCACGTACAGACCATAATAACATTTCCCAGTTGGCCCAATAATCTTTTTAAAAATATATACTTAATTTAATTTATTATAATTGCTTTTTAATTTGACCAGAGGGAAACAGAGAGAGAGAGAGGGAAAGTGAGTCCCTCTGTGTTCGGTACTCGAACCGCAGTTGGCCGTGTGGGAGTTCAGCTCCTTAACCACCACACCACCTGTAGGCCTCCCAGTAGTCTTCTTTTTTTTCTTTTTGGAGAGGTTTTCACTATAGGGCGTGTGTGCTCGCCAAACAGACAGAGACATAGAGACAGAAAGCGAGAAATCACCCCCAGGGGGGATGGTCACGCCGCAATCCCTTCTCCTCCACTCTCCTCTCAGGATCTTGGGCACGCACGCACATGCACCCGGCGCGAGTTTTAAGCCACCGGGATTGGGACTCGAACCGCGGTTGACTACGTGGGAGTCCAGCGACGTAGCCATTACGCTAATTGCTGGTTCCCCCAGTAGTCTTCTTTTAAACTGTTCCGCTCTGTTTTAAACCCAGGATGCAATCTGGCAATCGTACCAGGCACTTCATTGCTGTGTCCCTCTCATTTCCTTAATCTGAGCGGTGGCTAACTTCCCTGCAAGGGGCCCGATTGGATGCGTTTTGGTTGCGTAGTCCATCTGGCGTCCGTTGCAGCTGTCAGTCCTGTCACTGCGACATACAAGCAGCCACAGATAACATGCACGTTAGTGGGCCTGGCTGTGTTACAGTAAAACTATTTACAGGGGCCAGCGCCTACTAGTACCACATGGCCAACCATGGTTCCAATCTTGGCCCCGGGGGGCTTGAAAAATATGCCGGGCCTGTGTGTGCACGCCCCAAATCCCAACCGGATGGAGAACTGGAGGGGAGGGACATGGCCATGCTCCACTGGGGAGTGCTTTCTTCCTCTTGTGAACACAGGCCCTCTGGCACCTGACCCCCCTTCCAGAGATTCTGTTTTCGCAGGTCTTAAGCAGAGAGCCTGGAATCTCTATTTTAAGTAAGTGCCCCAAGTGATTCTGCTGTTCAGCCAACCTGGAAATTAGCACGCGATTTCATTTCCCTTTCGCCACCACCCATCAGTAAAATCGGTATCGCGATCCCAGCTTTTGGATTAGAAAGCAGAGGCTCAGGTGAGTGAGGCGCTAGCTGGAGATCACTCATCCTGTGCATGGCAGAGCCAAACTGGAGCCCTGGTCTGATGCCGAGGCCCAAGGATGGTCCTCTACACCCGACTGCCCCCTTGCTGCAGACAGCGGTACTACAACTAGAATTCTTGCCTCCCCACCCCAGGCTACCTCCGGGTCAATACTAAGGAAGGGCATGGGGAGGTTGTTGCCATGGCCACACCTGGTGGGCTAACCTAAGGCTTAGGACTCTCACTTATTCCTTTTTTATTTATTTATTTATTTATTTATTTATTTATTTATTTATTTATTTCTATAAGGCACATACATTTGCCAGAGAGAGAGAGAGAGAGAGGAAAAATGAGAAAGTCCCCACCAACCTCCCAGAGAGGATGGCCACACCATGATTGCTCTCCAGTCTCCTCTCAGAATTTTGGGCATGCGCACACATGAACCCAGTGTGATTTTTAAGCCGCTGGGACAGGACTCAAACTGCTCCGTCAGCCATGTGGGATCCAGCTCCTTAACTGCCACGCCACCTGTTGGCCCAGGACAGGACTCTCATTTCATTGGCTCACCCAGTGCAGAAGCTGTGGGTTTCTTGGGCCTGGGGCCTTGAGGCAGAGGCTGCAGCCTGGATGTTCTTCCTGAGACCTGGTGAGATCTCTCACGTGCTTTTTCTCTGACCCAGCTTGGATACTCCGAGGGGGAGGCCAAGAGCTCGTTTGTCTTGGGGGTGGAGGAGCAGCGCTTCCGCATCAGCACCAGGCTGCTGGCTGTGAACGCCACCCTTGCCAGCACCGTCAGCCTGGAACAGACCTTCCCCCAGGTGTGTGAGGATGGCCAGGGCCGGGGCGGGCAGGGGTGCCTGGGCTGCCCTTGGAGAGGAGCGGAATTGTCCTCGAGTCTTGCTTCCCGGGAGCACCCAGAGCAGATGGGGCTGTGAAGGTGACACTGGGCAGAATGGACTCCCAGCTGGTCAGTGTCCTGCCTGCCTTCAGCAGCATTATCGAGCATCTACTAGGTGCATGCGCTATTCCAGAAGCTGGGCGTGGCCTGGAACAGGACTGATGAGTCAGTGTTCTCACCAAATGTACACTCTAGTGGGGGACTGACCCCCACAATCACAGAAATAAACAAGGACAGACAGTGGACTGCGGCTTATGAGTTGGAGAATACGAAACACGTTAAGTGGCTGAAGGTGGCCAGGGAGCTCGCTTGGACTGAGGTCCAGGGTAGGCACTGCTGAGGAGGCGACACTCGAGCTAGTCCCGGGTGGCAGTGAGTGCGGCCATCTGAATTCCCGCAGAAGAGCATCTCAGGCAGAGGGAGCCTCAGGTGCACAGGGCCTGGGGCAGGTATGAGATGGGCCTGTGCAGGGAATGGGCCGGGAGCCGTGGGGCTGGAGCAGAGTGGGTGAGGGGGCGATGGCAGGAGGCAGTGGGGATCCAACCGTGCTGAGCCTGTCAAGCCACAGGGAGGAGTGCGGTCTCGGTTCTGTCTGGTACTGCAAGCCTTGAGGGCGTGGTGGAGTGAGGATTTCAGATCCCCCGCTGCCATTCCAGGAGGGACCTGCAGGTGGCGGCAGAGAGAGTGGGGAGAAAGCGGCCACAGTGGGCAGGGCAGAACGGCGAGGTCTGGGACCAGGACTGGGAGGTAGTGGTGGGTTTGATGACCAGAACTGGAGAGTAAGCGCCCCCTGCAGCTCCCCATCCCCCACCGGGGCACCCACCTGCAGAGACGGTGCTTCTTGCGAGCCTTTGCAGAGGCCACCCCGTCCTAGGGGTCTGGAATGCCCCTGCTTGCCTTGTCCCCACTGCCTTCTCTGCATTCCTTTGTCCCTTGGCTGTCTCTCATGGCCCCCCTTGTTACCGTGTCCCATCATTTTCTGCTCTGTCTCTCCCCAAGCCTGCAGCCCCTTAGGGGCCAGGACCGGTCTTGGTTATCGGGGTTCCCACACCCAGCACTGGGCTGAGAAAGCCAAATTGGCTACAGCCACTCCCAGGGCTCCTTCCACTGCCCGGCCCGGGCTGCGCACATGACTCATTCTCTTGCAGAGGGTGGCACCGTCACCACCCACAGGGTGTGTGCACATGCCAGGGGATGCGGGGTGGAGAGAGAGAGAGAACGCACCCCCAGCAGCGGACGGCCACACCCCAGTCCTTTCTCTTCCTTTCTCTTCTTGGGATTTCGGGCACACACATGCAGGCGCCCTGTGTTTTTCAAGCCTCTTGTTCTGGGACTCAGACCACACAGTTGGCCACATGGGACCCAGCTGCCTTAGCCACCACCCCATCTGCTGTCCCACGACACACATTTTATCGATGAGGAGGCCGAGGCTCAGAGGGGTTAGGCAACTTGCCCAGGGCCACACAGCTTCTGTGTGGGACCGAGAGGTGGCTGTCCTCTCTGCAGGGCGTGTGCTGTCTCCTCTGGCCACACACCCTAACCCCATATCCCGCCTTTATACGATCTGCTCATCCCAGAAAGCAGCTGGCTCTTGGACCCCCGGTATTTGTAAGAACCCCATAAATTGTGAACGACCACGAACCCCAGTGGCTACCGCTGGCATCGGATCTCTCTGATGTTCCGTGAGCAGGGACTGTGCTCCCAGTCTGAGCTGGGCACTGGGTGCAAAGACCGAGGGTGGTCCCGCCCTCAGGGCTCCTGGGCGGGGGGAGACCACCAGAGACAGAGGTTGAAGGGGACAGATGAGGGGACAAGGGTGGGCTCAGAGAGTCCCAGTGAGCCCAGCTGCTTCATTCCCTTGCAGCTCAGTGCCCTTCCCGGGGAGCTGGTGCTGCGGACCACGTACGAGCGAGCCCGTGGGACCCGCGTCCTGTGCCAGTCGGTGCTGTGGGATGGCCGGGAGGTGGCCCTCAATGGGAGCTTCTCTGGGCCCTTCCCCAAGCCCGCCGGGAACCTCAGCCTGCAAGGTAAGTGTTTGGGGTGGGCTGAGCAGCCTGCAGCCCCGCACTATGGTCACAGGCACTGCAGTTGGCTGGTCTGAGGTGGCAGGAATGAGGGGTTCCCCCGTGCAGGTGAGGGGATGAGCGTGGTCCGCATCCCCGAGCTGGTGATAGGGTCTTGCCTTGAGAGCCAGCTGGTGCCAGTGTCTCAGGCACAGCTCCCTGGGGCCTGTCTGCACAGTGGCACCCCCCAGATGGCTCAGTAGCCCCCACCAAGTGGCCACCACCCACTGCAAAAGGGCCTTGGATAGACTCCAGCACTGGGGTGTGGGAAAGCAGGACAGTGTTGGCCTCGTGGGTGTGGTGAGATGCTGCAAGAGGTCAGGCAGCTGGCTCGGCTGGGGGAGGTGGGTGGAAGAATCCGGGGCGTGGAGACCGCTGTGAGACCTCAGCTATGGGGCACCATCTGTGTCAGGCCCCCGGGTGGGATGAGAACACGGACGACTGGCTGCCGCACAGGTGGAGTAGGTATGGGTAACCCCTGAATGTGAGGCCCCCAGGAGCAGTTCAGGCTGCTGGGTGTCAGGGTGCACTGGTCAGCGCTTGTCATGTAACAAACGGTCCTGAACGCGGTGGCTTAAAACAGTAAGCATCTGTGGTTGCGCGTGAAGCTGTGGCTCTGCTGGTGCCTCCCGGTCTGGCTCAGGCAGGGGGCAGCTGCAGGCCTGGTGGAGGCTCTGCTGGTCTGGGCTGGCTCGGGCTGGCTCGGGCTGGCTGGTATAGACAGCCTCGGTTGCAGCAGCCAGGTGCACCCCCACAGTGGTGGTGTCTAGCAGGCCAGCCTCGGGGCATTCTCACGGCAGCTAAGCACGGGTCTGAGTAAGGGAACGGAGGATGAGGCCCAGGCTCAGGTTGGCACTCTGCTTCACTGTCCGCTGGCATGTCGGGAGGCCTGCCCAGGTTCAAGGGGTTGGAAGACAGATTCCAGCTCTTGGAAGAGCTGCTGAGCCTCAAGGCAACGGGAGGGGTGGAAATCTGGGCTCCCACGGGGTGATGGTGTGTACTGCGTGGGGTAGTGGCTTAAGCCAGCATGCAGTTTCTGAATTTAGGGGAATTACCGAAGTGTGTGGCCCTGAGTGGACACCTACACAAGTTGGTGGCGGTGTCAGCTGAGATTCTGGAGCTCCCTGGTCGTAAGCCAATGTCCTCAGCTCTGTACCACCCCTGTGTCCCCCACCCAGTGGATCTCACACATGCGCTGTCCCTTCCCCTGCCGCGGCACTGCAGCCTCGATCTGTCCTTGGAGCACTCCGGAGGCAGCCACCAGGGCCACCTGGTTGCCAGCTGGGACGCCAGGGACCAGGTAGGTCGGCAGTGGGGCTGGAAGGAGGCCGAGGCATGGCAGAGTGCAGCCCTCCTGCAGCCTGATCAGGACCCTCAGGACCCTGCCCTGCCTGAGGAGCCTCAGCCGGGGCCAGCCTGGCTGCATCAGGTCCCCACAGGAGGTGAGAGTGGGAGGGGAACAGGGTGAGGTGGGCGTTCCCACAGCGCTTGACAACTACAGCGCTCACAGTGGCCCGTGCACACTAAATGCCTACCCAGACTGGGCACCATGTGACGAGTCCTTATGTCACCCCGCACCTGCTGGGGGCTGTTGTCAGCACTGTTTTCAGATGGTGAAATCATAGTACAGGGAGGCACAGAGCGAGTGGAAGGCGGGGCCGGGATTCGAACCCACAATTGGCCCAGCACCTCTGTTTGCAGGCACATGCACCACTCCCAGTCCCATCTCTCACATGCCGCCCCACCTGCTCCTCTCCAAGTCCCGACTTCCTCCTCTGTAAGATGGGCTGACGTTCTCTGCGGGTGCCCGGTGCCGGGATCCTGTGCTCAGAGCCGCCTGCCCGCACCCTGGACCCCGATGGAGAGGGCGGGCTCTGCAGGGTGCAGGAGGGACGGCTCTCCAGGCCAGGCCACTGGCTCAGCCTGTCGCCCTCCCCAGGTGGTGGTCTCCTCGTCTCTGCAGCTGGAGAAGGACAGGCTGACTGCCCGCCTGGCTCTGGCTCAGCCCTTCAGCCTCTCCTGGCAGCACGCAGAGGCCAGTGGCCTGGCTGAGAGGAGGGGCGGCAGGCAGAGCCGGCAGGTGAATGGGGGTGCGGTGGGAGGGGGCAGTGTGACTCATCCCACGGGGGTGGGCACCTCAGGTGGGGGAAGAAGGAGACCTGTCCACTGGCAACAAAGACTTCTCCAGAGCCACGGATTCCTGAAGCCTGAGGACCTCGAGGCCCTTTGTCCTGCCTCTGTCTGGGCATGGCTCTGGGCTCTCCCCACACCCAGATGCTAACTCCTCCATGGGAAGGGGGTCAGCAGCATTGGCCTTTCCCCGCCCACTGACATGGCCCTGTCTCGGCGCAGGTGCAGCTGGCCTGGGACAGAGGACGACCTGTGAGCCTGCAGCTCACCTGGGCCGACAGGTCCTCAGCGCACAGCACCTTCTGGGATGGCTGCGTGGCCGCCTCCCCGGGGCAGGTGGGCCGGCTGGATGGAGCCGGGTGTGGACTGCTCCCCTCTAGGTCTCTCGTCATTCCCCACCCCAGTCACATGCCCCATTCTCTTCCTGTCAGCTCCAGGGAGCCTGGGGCCTGGGCACCCTCCAGGCCTGTGGGGCCTTGACGCAGACCCCATTCGTGTTCAGCGAGTGGCTTGACCTGTCCTGGCGCCGGCGCCGGGTGCAGCAGAACCTGACATGTGAGGTGAGGCCTGGGAAGCTGGGTCTCAAGCAGGTCACCATAGGCGGTCCCACCTGCTACAAAGTGCCCAGCTCAGGGCCACAGCAGTCCTGGGTTTGGGTACTGTGATCCCGGGCAGCTCATTTCGCTGCTGGGAGCCGTGGTTCTCTCATCTGTAAAATGGGCGCAGAAGCCTTTTCTTAGCTGGAGTGCAGTGAGGTCTCCAATAAAGCAGAGTGCTCAGCGTGAGTAGAGGCTCAGACTGGTGCAGGGGGCACCGGGGCGTGTGGCACTTCTGGAAGGGGTGGAGAAGGAAGGTCAGGAGCTTGGCTTCCCAGAGGTGTCAGGGGCAGGGTCTCCCCAGCATTACCACCGCCTGGGGCTCCTGATGGGGCCAGGTGCTGTTCTGCGGAGCTGGAGCAGGAACCAGGCCATGGAGAAATGGGGACAGCTGGCCCTGAGAGGCCCCTCCCCCCGGCCTCCAGCCTGGGCTCCGGGGACCCGCAGGCCAGCCCCTCTGTGCTCGCAGCAAGAGTCCTGCCCTGGAGCAGATGACTGCCATGCTGACCAGGGCTCTGCTGGGGTCCTGGCACCGGCTCGCATCCGGGTGAGGGGCTCCTGTCTGCAGCTGGCTGCGGACATTCTTCCCTCATGTGCCGAGCGCTGCCCACGGCACCCTGTCGTTCCAGCGGCATTGGCCACACCAGCCTGACAAGGTCCTTGTGGAGGCCACGCTGGAGCACGTCCTCACAGCTGCCTGTGCCAAGCAGAGCTTCCGGGGAGAAGTGGAGACTGACTATGCGCACTGGCTGCGCCATTCCCTCCACCTGGGACTCTGTGACCTGCCCAGGGTGAGTGCCCTGGTGAAGGGCGGGGGAGGACAGGGAACTCCTAGGGTTTCAGGGACACAGGTCGGATGGCACCGCAGAACATAGGAGCTGGGAGAGGCAGCCGATGCCGGCATCTGCAGTGGGGGGCCCTGGGGGGGGGACCCAAACCTCCGG